CACACACACCTGCCACACACACACACACCTGCCACACACACACACACCTGCCACACACACACACACCTGCCACACACACACACACCTGCCACACACACGACATACAAGCTTAACTCAGGATTTTATTCAGATTATGTAAGCTTGACCCATCCATAACAAGTTTTAAATTGTTATATTTATTTATCTATCTTATCCATGGAACGTATCACCACCAGATATGGGGTGGACTATTGTTTAAATTATATTCACACACACACACACACACACACACACTCACACTCACACAGTTCGTACCAGTTAAAAGCCTGGACACATCTAGTGAACATCATTTTGTTTTCAAGAAGATAATGACCCTAATGACACCTTGTGGTTATGTAGTAAGTATCTTGTGAATAAGCAAAGAGATGGAGTGCTGTGACAGATGACCTGCCCCCCCCCACAATCCCCCACAATCCCCCAACCTAAACCCTATAGAGCTACTTTGGGATGAGTCAGATTGAAGAGTAAGAGCAAGGTAGCCAACTTGTGCTTAGAACTTGTGGAAACTCCTTCAGGACTGTTGGAGAAGCATTCCAGGTGGCTACATCTGTAAGCTGTCTGAAAGAGAGCCTGCAACGCTGTCATCGAAGCTAAGGGGGGCTATTTAGAGGAATGTAAAAATTGTGAAAATTTTGAGATATTGAAGATGTTGTTGCAATATTTGATATGTACTTAATTGCTTCTAGGCCTTTTCCTGTATTGTGAATAACATACCTAAGAGAGACAAATGCATTAAAAGCAGGTGTATCCAAACTGCATGTCAGACAGTATCATGGAGAAACAGAGAAATGTCAGAAAACATTACAGGTACTAAGTAAAGTTCAATATGTTTTGGGATGAAGAAGATCAGACACATATTGATTGGACTGTCAGACAGGCTTGCTCCATGCTGCGTGGGAGCTGGAGGAGCAGGAACAGACCTTGCGGTTGGCGTTGAGGTTGGCTGCCGGGATCTGCAAAGTGACGCGGTACTCGGTCTTCTTGTCCAGTTCCTCGGCGATGAAGCCGGCCTCCTGCACTAGCAGGTTGGCCTTCACGATCTGCTCCCGCAACTTCCTCAGGCTGCGTGTCAACACCGCCTCTCTGGAGGGGTTTGGGCACAAATCACAGGGTCAACGTCACCCACGTCACGTCAGTATGCTGCCCTGTCCGTCAGTGGCGCCCAGCACGACCTCTGACCTCTCCTCGCCCCACTGGCGCAGGCGCTGCTGTGCACTGGATGACGCAGAGGAAGCCCCACCCAGGCTCAGCCTCTCCATGCTGCGGTAGTGCTGCTGCGACCACTGCGGGCTCAGCAGCGACTGCTTGTCGGGCGTCAGGCGCCTGCGCAGCTGCTGCAGCTCCTGCTCGTACATCTGCCGCTGCCGTTCCAGGGCGGAGCGTTTCTCCTCCTCGTGCTGTCGCTCCAGGCCCTGCAGCACGGCTTGCATGGGGTCTGCAGGGTTCACAGGAAGTGGTGCCGTTCAAGACAGGAAGCTGGTCACACTAAAGCCAGGCTCTACACAAACAGGCAACAATTCCACCAAAACCCAATCATTTCATATCTTATTCCTCTTATTAATTACAGTATGACAGTACACAATAGTCCATTGCTTCCTCAGATATTAATTAGTACTTTTTCTGCTGTTTTGAGGTTAGTGGTAGTATGACATAAAACTAATCTTAAACTCTCAGATAACATTTAGCAATTATCTGTTACTGTACCTGGAGTCCTCTCTGACCTTTTCATGAGCTATCGATGCATGAGAAATAACCAACACAGCCAAAAATGGCGGGGAAATCACCCGATTTATTACGAAAACCAGAATGCAGGATGACGCTTTCCATTAACTGCCCCTTCATAATACAGTCATAATGCCGTCAGTGAACATTCAGAAGCAGCATATAAGTATACCTTAACTTTCTAACATACCTTAACTTTAATATACATTAATAACAAACATTATATGATAAACATTAAAATAGTATAATTAATATTTATAGTACAACAAAAAGATCAGAATGGCATGACAGGAAATTTAAGAAGTATTTGGTTTAATATACTAGGACAGCACAGATATTGCATATAGCATGCTGTCCCAGCAATGTGATTTTGCTGTAAAAAATATATTGGGGTATTTATAAAACCAAAAGGAATTCATTAATTTCTCACAAACCCGTCTAGGAATGATTTAAACAGCAAGGATGAAAATGATTATGATTGTCTGAGAGAACACATGCAGCACTTTGCAAAGGCAGTGGACGTAAACTTTAAACTGATTTTAAAACATACATTAGATCATCTGTAAAAGGAACAATAAGTAAAACTGCAAAGTCACCTAAGATTAAATGATTAAGCGAAACAGACTGCCTGCGCTATAATGTCCTTATGAGGGTATGAAAAAGCCTGATCTTAATCTAGCTGACTAGTGATGTGAGAATTGCATGTGCATAACATGCAATGTTGGCATTAATATCATACATCGTCCAGCCCTAAAATGTACTACAACCATTTTTCAAATTCAGTACAAAATAGCCCAGTTGTGGTGTCATTCCGCACCAATACCAGTTTTTACACCAGTGGAAAATCAACACCTTGAAGTACAATATTTTTGGCACTTTCAAAAGTATCATACCTGGTGTGGAGGAGGAACGTTCTATGAATGCATTACGAAAGTGCACTGAACGTTCTATGAATGCATTACGAAAGTGCACTGAACGTTCTATGAATGCATTACGAAAGTGNACGTTCTATGAATGCATTACGAAAGTGCACTGAACGTTCTATGAATGCATTACGAAAGTGCACTGAACGTTCTATGAATGCATTACGAAAGTGCAATGAATGTTTAATGAATGCATTGTGAAGGGGAAGTTAATGTAAAGCGGTGCCCAGTACAGACCGGGTTTTGCCAAAAAAAATGTAAATAAAATACATGCTAAAGAAATGAATGTAATGTCTGGGTTGCCATCCCCTTAAGGTAAATTCAAATGTAGTGTATATCTAACACAAATACAAAACGGCTGCAGGTTTAAATGCCATTACCACATCCCTACCCCCATCCCCCCCAGCCCCCCCACCCCGACTTCCTCCTGACATCTGCTCTTACTCACCATTGCTGCTCAAGGCCTTCATCATCACTTCCGTTTGAGCGAACTCATAACTGAAGCTGACTTCACTGGACACTTCACTTCCAGTGTCCCCGTCGCCATCCAGTGGCTCGCCACTGTTGCTGTTCTTCATGACACTGCCGTCACCTTCCTCATCTTCAACTTCACCACGCGCCCGTCGCTTAGGCAAGTTGATCCTGCGGAGGAAATAGACATTTATCCCCATATTCCTATAAAATCTTTCAAATTAATCTTCCCTGACACACAGCCACAGGGACCTGCTCCCTAACCCCTCCCAGACAGATGCTGACCTGAAAAAATGGTTGTTCCCCCAGAGGATGCGATCTCCATGGTGAAGCTGGAGTGGGCTTGTCACTGGGGAGCCATTCACGCACGTACTGGAGACAGATGTCAGCAGAGAGGCCCAGTACAGAGATCATTATAAAGGTTCACTCAAGTTGCTGAAATGTAACTCATAGTGTGTGGATCTACATGCAGCCCTACCGGGACTTCGGGTATGGGGTGAGGATCACACCGCCATCGGCTGTGATGTCCATGATGCAGTGTTCTGCCTGGATACCCATTCCACACAGCTGGATGTCCTGAGTGTTGGCTGCGCCTATTAGGGTGTGTTCCTGCAACCATGTATGGTAGTAACAATAAAGGGGGGGGGGGTTACATTCATTTCCCAATAAAAGAACAAGGAGGTATTTTATTTGCCAAGTGCAGAAGTATATTCCTTTAAGAATGCACATGACTATTCAATGTTTGTCCAATGACATTCTTTTTTACAATTTTGCAGATGTTAAGATTTGTTACATATCTATATACACATTTTCAAGCGTTTTTGGGTTTCACAGTAGAAAGCACATCACACAATCAACAACATGATACCCTGTATATAGGTACTGTACCTTTAAGTAATAAACCAGCAGCTCATTGAGGGCAGGGTCAGCATTGAGGTTAACCAAGAAGCACTTGTCCTCTCCAACCCTGATGCCAGAAGACTGCAAGGAGATACCAAGACTCTCCAGCTGCTTCTGTCGCTCCTAAAAAGCCAAAATGCAACCAACCTTCACCACACAAGCATCTTTACAGCATCTTTTCAGCAGCTCATAATCAACACATATTGGCAAGACTGGTGGTCACTCATCACTCAGATATATAAAACCATGCGTCTAAATTTGAGCAAAGTCCATCTGTATGACCTCGTCATTTTAATGAGAAAGCTAACATCTAAAATTCTTCATACTTGGAGCGATGTCCTCTGAAGTAAAGTATAATAATGATTTGAGTCACATTTTACATTCCATAACAGGACAATAAACGGACCCACCCCCGTGGGGGGGGGGGGGGGGGGGTGCAATAACCTTAGTGTTTATAATCTGTGCTTTGACACTAAAGTTTGCAGAATCGTGTCGGAAACATGGCTTCATCATTCAAACCGTGACTCTTTTTAGGAGTAGCTGTTCACACAAAATTATAGTAATAATTATTATTTTCATAAAAATAGATTAATTTCTTCAACAAGATGTTTATGCTAAAAGGCAAAGGAAGAAAAGTAAAAAAAAATTTACACTGCAAGTGACCAACAGTCTCCAACCAACCTGTTAAATGTTGCAGCTATTTTACTACCAGCAGAGACTAAATTCCACAAACTGACACTAAATAAGCTAAAAACACACTAAATTCCAAATTGTACCAGTAAATTATACAGGAATGTCAGGGGATCTCTCCTTAAACTGAAACTAAACACAGAAGTAAATCAACGGAATGGCTGAATCCGACGGAATTCTGTGCTCTGGAATGGCCGAGTCCAGACCTTAATTCAAACGTCATGGTATGACCTAAAGGAAAGTCTTGAGATAAGACAGCCAAAAAGACCAATGAGTCAATGCAGCTTTCTAAAAAAGAATAGGCTAAATACCTCCAAGCCAAATCAGCAGGACTGATCAAATGCTATAGAAAATGTCTGGTTTGAGTCATTGCTGCTGAAATAAGCGCCAGCTTTCGATTATGAGGCGAAATTATTGTTTGCCAATAGACAGTAAATGCTGGGATAATTTCAACAAAGGCATGGAAAAAGTAGATGTCTCTAACGATCTCTTTCTCTATTAAGACGACTTAATCAGAGGACATTCTATTGCAAAAATATAGTTAATTCCAAACGGCTAATGAAGAACAGGCTCACAGAATAAAGTAGGTGAGTGAGACAGTGACTACCTGTGCTATCTCTTCAGTCTTCCTCAGTTTCTCCTCCCACGTCACCGTCATCTCCTGGATCAGCTTCTCAGATTCCTCCAGCCTGTCTTTGAGCTCAGGAGCCTTCAGGGACTGAAATCAACAAAGAGAAAAAGGAGAGAAATAAAAAATGAGGGCTGAGACGACGAGGGCTGAAGATGTTCCACTGATTTACAATTTAGTTTACTGAAGATGATAATTTAGATATTAAATACAGCAGGCTGGGGCATTTATCTTCTGCGAAGGGCCAAATCTGAGCTTCACCATGTCAGCAAGGGCCATTCTTAAATAATTATTATGCTCCATGAAAGCTACAATAGAAGACTTGTTCTATTTTTTGACAGGCTAATTTCTGCATGCTTGCATGGAAGCAGCAATTGTATTTGAGATTATGCATGGGACATTGAACATAAAACTTTACCTGTTTTTGTCTGTCTCTACAAAGAACGTTTTAAATGTCTTGCCCAGAGATTCAAATCGCCTACCTCAGCCTGAGTGAGCTGCACCCGCAGCTTCTCCACCTCCACACGGAGCTCTCGTATAATCTTGGCATTGGGGTCTTCATTGACAACGGCATGGTTGACTATGTTTTTCGCCCGATCAGCATAGCGTAGAGTGGACAAGGTCTCGTCGTAATTGTCAGCCGCTGGGCTAATGGTGGCTACCATTGCTGTCCGGCTGTTTCCACCAAGGCTGTCCTGAAAGAGAAAGACAGAAGATTTCCATCCTAATTCCATACTATTTATCTAGTACAGGGTCACGGTGAACCTAGAGCCTATATCAGGAAACGGCTACAAGACCGGGAACACTTTAGACAGGATGCCAGTCCATCGCATGGGACATATACATTCAGATACATTCAGACACTAGTTCATCTAAACTATGGGTACCCAAACTTTTGCAGAGTTATTCGGGTACGAAATATGTATGGAAATACAGAACAAATCACGTTTTTTCCATAAATCACAACTTATTCTTTTTCAGTATGAAATGATCCCGTAAAGTATGGAACGGGTGGCGACTACGCCCTCCAGCATTCCGTGGATCGGGGGCTGGGAACCCCTAATCTGAACTACATATCTTTGAACTGCAAGAGAAAAGTCAACAGCACGAAGACAACATGTTAATACCTCATACACGCCCACACAGGCAGGAACTCCATCCCTAACCCTAAAGCGCTGAGGCTTAGTGCCAACGACTAAGCCACCATTCTGCCGGGCAGATCAAATAATGAAACATAACTGGCTGATAATTCTGAATGAAAATAACACCCAACTTGCAAAGCATGTGTCAGAGTCAATCACCTTGAGCAGCCAGGTGAGCACAGAGTCTCTGTAGGGCACAAACTTGCTCTTGTTCTTGCCTGCGCCATGGTCTGCCAGCGCAGAGATGACCAGGCCGAGCGTAGTGAGTGACCTGTGCAGGTGGGAGAGAAGCAGTAATCACAGTCAGGCCAAAGCGCTGTCATGCAATGGGATAGAGCAGTGTTTTCCAGTCCGGTCCATGGGGACCCACATACAGTCAGGGAGCTGGGAGGGAGCAAAAATATGGACCGACTGTAGGTCCCCGAGGACCGGATTGGGAATCACACCCGCAGCTTGATGGACTGAGCGGCAGGCAGGGGAGACTCCAGAACATTCTCAGAGAAGCGGTTTGAGGAAAAAGCAGAATAGCAGTGCCATCCAAAGAAATAAATACGGAGACTGTCACTGACTTTTTTCTATTATATGCATAAACATTATTTAATGAAATGACACAATTTTGAAATGAAACATGTTATTTGTACAAGCACATGTACATTGCAATCTTTTAGTTTTCACGTATCCCATCTTGCTCTACTTGGAGACATAATCACACGTATACAGGTGTGAGCGAAGCCTGCAGAGAAGGATACTTTAGGTCCAGAAAGTAAAAATCCAGATTTTGTTTCAACCACGTATTGCGTACTGTAAACAGTATATACTGTATACTGCATACTGTAACTCAGTGAAGCATTCAGTATGCTAACTTTTTCGTATGAGTTTTGTGGAATGCCACGTTTTTAGGTACGTCTTGTTCCCTGCGACCTCTTAAATCCATAACAACTCACAGACAAGGCATCGTTTAAAACAGTTTTTCAACTGGTATACTGCAATAACTCGTCAGGTGTGCCCAGGAAAATGATCAAATTCTGCCAAAAAAGCTTATTACAAATACAATCATTTAAATAACTAAACAGTTAGCTTACCTAAGGCGTCACACCTATTAAACCCCACGCGTATTGAAAGAACAGGTAAATTGAGATGTGCAGTCATTTACATGACTGAATAGAATTACAAAGGCCATCAGGGCAAACAACTATGAATAGACAAACTATGAAAGAATGCAATACTTTAATAAATACATTATAAATTGAAAGTAGGCTATACATTATAATTAGACCTAGATACATTAATCAAAAAGACAGTAACATTTAGGTCATCGTCTTGCAGTCAGCGATTAGAGGGCAGTATTTGGTGTTAAATCCCAACACCCATGTCCTGTGTGCATAGCTGACAGCTAAATAGCCTGTGCCTTTCCTATGGGAAATGTAATAGGGAAATGTTAGCAGCTAACATTAGCTGGTTAGCTGATACATGCAGAATTGCTAACTTGTATGGTCCAAATAGTCCGACTTGTTTGTTGTTCTTCGCCCTCCCATTTAAAACTGGAAATAAAAATAAAAAAAGAAAAAAGGAATAAAAGTTTCAAATTATTCATATTCTGAGGCTGAGCCGTTCCTGGTGTTCTCAGGTCCAGCAATTTTCCCACAAACTAAACAGCCTAAACGACGCTGTCACGTTCTGCTGCACTGCGGGAAATTTTCTAATTCACTATGACATCTGGATATTGCAAATTTAATATTTTTCACGTATTGCATACGACATACTACTTTTTTGGTGTACATCAGTAAATATAAGTATAGTTTGCAGTTTCAAAAACAGCCTGTGATTTTATACTCAACTGCTTGGTTGAAACATGATCTTGGTCTGGATTTTTACTTTCTGGACCTCAACTATCCACCTCTGCAAGTCCAGAATCAGAACAAAGGCTCAGCTGGTGCTCCAAGAGCATTTTTTTAGGGGGTTATGGGTCATTCTCAAAGGATCATTGGTGATGTGATTATTCTTCCGACCACAGAATTCTAACTGCCACCTGATCACAGGTCCAGCAGAAAATTCTGCTATTTTCTTCTAACCTTTGACTAAAACAAATTAGACGTTTATGACCTCAAAATTTTATTTTCCCAATACACATTGCACTCTTATTAATCTGCATACAGCACAATAATCAGGATTTGCTGTCTTATTTCCATGCCAGCTACTAAACAGCACTTGTGTTAATGTCTTCTTTTGTCCTTTCTCCACACAAGTACCAAGTCACAATCATTCTGCAAAACTTAATTCATGTCTGAGTTAAACGCAATCACTTTATTGACCAGGGTTAAAATTTGATACCAGAATAATGAAAACAGTGGAATACCAGAGACAAACTAAAAAGCAAGCAATTACTTGCAACATTATTATTAACTTAGATCACAAGACTGCACAAAATTTTTTAGAAATGTTTTCATGACACTTATAAGAAGCAGTAAAAAACAACAAGTTTCAGGCTTGCCTGACATGGCCCTGATTGGAAGGTTCGCCTGAAGGTTGGTTCATACTTCTCTGCACAAGCACAACTCGCACATCCACACCACATATGCAGAAACGGAAACATTCATATTTCTCCGGTCAAGCCGCATACTTTGCACATGCATACAGCATGTCGTATTTATATTAATAATAATAATATCGATTATTATTCTGATATTCCCTGCACACGCACCACAGCCACTGTGGTACGAACTCTGTGTCCGTTTCTCTATGTTCTACAAATTCCCGGAGCCAGCTCATACTGTAAGTTTTCCTTCTCTGGTCAGCTGGGTGGCATGAGATTTTCAATTTGAGACAAGTTTGCACTCACACGCACATGCATTTACATGTATGTAACACTTTTATTACCTTGCAAATAGTCTGTATAGTTTGTAAACTACCCCAACGCTCGTCAAAAGCATCCATTGGTATTTAAAGTGGATGCTAGGAAATCAATCGTGCACAGCGTGTCCAGAGTTGCACGCACACCGGCACACGGCACCGATCTGAAGTGCAGCGCACATTCGTCTGCGGAGACACACGACGATGTCAAATATGTCGTAAAAGTTTGCGCGGACGCGTTCTCCAGTACGCATGCGTAGAAGTATGAACCTGCCTCGAGATGGCTCTCATTGGAGAGCTTTTATCTAGGAGCTAGCTAGCTACATATCGGTGAACTAACTTCAAATGAGCCACCTGCATCAATGGAGTCACCAAGCCTCCAGTCATGAAAAAGTTAACGTGCATGTCAATTTATAAAATTCTGGGAGCTATTAAAATGATGCTTGCCTCACAAACATGATTTTAGGAAAAATATGTTAAGCATTCTATGATTGACAGGAACCACCCCAAAGCACTCTCATTGGCCACATGCCCACCAATCGGTGGGGGGCACCTACATGATGTTCAAGATTCAACTTTGTGAAAATCAGGACAGTCAAAAGAATCGCAACAGCAGTCCGGCGCTCACTTGTTTATGTTGCTGCCCTCTTTCAGCCTCTCGCCGGCGGCACCCGTCTTGGCCGCTCTCTCGCTCCCAGCCAGATCCACAAGGCTCAGCTTGCTCACCTTCTCTCCACTGGTCTGTAGAGGAAACAAAGAGGAGGAAGGAGAGGACCATGAAGGATTGTACCACCAGGGTTTGTAAATGCAAATGTAAACCCTGGTGCTATTAACGCAAAAACAAATATTATTCATCCCATGAGAGGAAAAATGCAGCATATGTATGAAGATGTATTGTTTAAGATGAATTTAGTGATATAGATCCAATAAAGAACAAGAACAGCAGCCATTTTAATGACCCCAACCTAGGCAAACAAGCCACGCTGGTTTTCTAAGATCAGATTTATTGCTGAAATTTTACGGGGTGGGGTAAACATGGAGCATTTGAAGTAATACAGACTGATTTAGTTGGATATAGATCAGACATGATTTACTATGAGCTTCTTTTCATTTACATATAAAAGGCTGTAAACACAGACATGCGGATAAATGCTCCCTGGGAGTTAAGCAGCCAAATGGGGAGAAAATGACAGCGAGGATCGAGGGCCTTGCAGGGTTTGTGCCAACAAAGAATGCATTTGTCTTCCCAGCATTTAAGTCTTAAGGGCATTGAGCCCTAATCGTGCAGGAAAGAACAGCCTTCGGGATTAAGCCGTAGCTGATAGGGCTTCCAGTCACAGGGGGAAAGAAAAAAAAAAAAACTTCCTTCCAAACTTAAGCCGAGTTCCACAGCTTTCCAGCTTAAATGATCACAGCTTGTCTGACGCTTTTCAGGAGGTTTAAAAGCCCTTGCCGCACGCAAGAAATTAACCCGGCCTCTTTAATTATTTACAAGAATGAGCTCCAGGTCGAGCTAAGCGAGACGGGTTTTGGTAACAGGTGACTCAATGGGGCAGGATGGAAATGGAACACAGAAACAAAGGAGGCCAATCACCTGAGCGGAAAGAGAGAAGGTATAACTTATTAATTAACCTTGCTGTTCTTCAGGCAGCTGCATCATGGTCTACATATTCACACAAAATGTCCAGAAAATGGATTCAAACCTTTATTTTCTCAAATGTCAAAGGGCAACAAAAATAAATAAATGAGAAAAATAATAATATATCAGCAAGTGCCAGTGAATATTGAGCTGCAGTTAAGCATGTTAAAGCAGCCATTCACCCACCTGTTTTGCATAAATGCTTATCCAGGAGCTGACATGAAAAGCGAAGAGTTTATCGCAGGAAGCACAGAACACAGGGAAGGGGACACTGCAGATGAGATGCTGATCTACTGCCCAACACGCAGTCACGCAGACAATCATATACAGAAATCTACTACCGAACACGCAGTCACGCAGACAATCATATACTGAAATCTACTACCGAACACGCAGTCACGCAGACAATCATATACTGAAATCTACTACCGAACACGCAGTCACGCAGACAATCATATACTGAAATCTACTACCGA